AAAAAAAAAAGCCGTAATTGAAGCTTTCCTTCAGCTCCTGCAAACCACCACAGACTCCGGATTAATCGAAAACCCATCCCGCGGATCTAGCGGCCCGCCACCCCCGGTTCTACTAAACACATACTAGAGTTCGCATGCAACAAGGGATCTGACAATGGAAACGTCCCTCGATTTTTCTTTTTCTTCTCAAGGTTTCCCTCTTGGAATCGTTTCAAGGGAAGCGAAATCTCCCTTCATTTCGTTCCGACCAATTATTCTTCCACTGTCGCGTAACTTTAATATACAAGGAGCCATTGAAATTCCAAGGGAACACCGAGAGCGCGGTTTCCAGCAGCCTCGAGAATAATAATGACAGGGAAGGAAGAATCTGACGCGGAACATTTGCCCTCTCCTTCCCGCCCCCGCTATCTCGTCCCGTGGTTCGCGAAACGCGTTCGTCTCGATCGTGTTCCACCTGGAAGACGAAAGACCGTCTCCCCTCGACACAGGTTCCCTTGATTCTCCCTCCGTGTCCCGTTTCCTCCGCAAAAGGGAGGAGGAGGAGTAAGGTAGGGACGAAGAGGATGATCCGGCTGAAATAATATGCCTCGATTTCACCGACGACAGGCAGTAAAGTCCGGAATTTACGGACCGTTCGCGGGGAATTTCGCCATCGTTCTTCCTCACGCGGTGCGCGCCAGCGGGTTTCTTTGTGTACGCGCCACCCTTTATCTTCACAGCCGACAGGCCTCGTACGTTCTCCACGCGCTGCAAGAGGACCTCTCCTCCTTTGCTCTCTTCTTCCCTTTGTGTCGCGGGACTCGCGCGCCTCGCCTCGCCTCGCCTCGCGTTGCGTTTCCGCCGATGATTTATCGAAATTACACGGAGGAGAGCAAAGCGACCCGTTACGCGAGAGCGAGGTCGTGGCTCGCGAAAAACCAGTCGCCGTGGAAAACGAAAGTCGACCGGTGACCGGCCGTTATTCAGGCAAATGAGCGGTGGCCCGGTTCGACGAGGCGCCTCGAAAATGGGTCACAGACCACAGTCGCTCTCGTTGATGATCGTCTGCCGACGATGCTTAAGCGATACGCGAACGATTCGCGACGGAATGTGTTTGACAACGTTAACGAGGGTCAAGTGAACCATTCCTCGGGAAAGATTCGCGGCTGTAGCGCGATTTATTACCGTTGGTTGGCTACGCGGAGCTGGAATGATTGCTAGCGGGGTGACACGACGGTGAAACGTCCAAGTTTGCGTGTTGGAACCTGAGAAGAATGAAAAATGCTGCGTTCTACCTTGGATGTTGCACAGTTAATTTTCTTTCACTTTTCATATCGCGCTATTTTTTCTATTCTATGGCAAAAATGTGAGTCAGGAATTGATGAAGCGAGCGTAAAGGGGTTAACGCTTCAATTCACAACTTCCCTGTATTTCTTCCACCGACTGTACGCTATTGCTTTGAAGTTCCTTGATGCGTCCATTCGCTCTTTTCGTCACACGACACTACACGATCTCACTCGTAGATAAGACCGTTTCGGTATCGTATCAGAGCAGGTGGTCTCAGTCAGACCCGCGTTACTTCCGCCATCGTTCTCACCAGCTCCGCGGAGTAAGGTGAAGTAAACGTTGGTTACGCTAAATGAATGAATCGCGGAATACCCTCTGACTGTAGGTACTTCCCCACGGTAAGAGAGTCGCGTGCAGAACCGCTGGAGGATCGAAAGGGACGCGCGCGTTCAGCTTGTCGGAAACGTTTCGTTCCGATGGAAAGTCGCCCGCGGTGCGAAAAACGGCCACGAAGAAACGAAACACGTGCCGCGCACGGTATCCACACACACAGAGAGAAAAGGCTCTCGTGCATTACCACGATGCCCGTTTACCGCAAAAACCAACGACGAAGGAGGTGAAGAGGGAGG